CCTCCCGAGTTGCACTTTATGGCCATTGCCCCTTTTATACCAGGTACCACTACAGAGTTTGGTTCCATCACTGCTGTAACTGCATTTCCAAGAGCTGCAAACCATGCTTGGCCCATCCCTTGGCTTCCCCTCTGCCTGGCCAGAGAGCCACCCCAGCCCCTCAGTCCCTCCTGCCACCCGATCCCGACCCTGCCTGTTGGATTTCCCTCCTGAACATCTCTGGCTGGTTTCTCCCCATCGTTGTTTTTTTTTTTTTGAAGTGAAGGTCCCAAACTGGTCACAGTAATGCAGATGCAGCCCCAGAGGAGATAAGTGCTCGTGTTCTCCTGGCCCTGCTCCTGGTGCAGAGTAGGACATGGTTTGCCCTATTTGTAAGCACCTCCCCTGCAGGCTCCAGCTCAGCCCAGGACACACCATTCCCTCCACAGCCTTCTCTGCAGGGCTGCTGCTCAGCCAGAGGGGTCCCAGCCTGAACTGGTGCTTGGGATCACTGTCCACAGGTGGAGAACTGGGCACCTTCTCTGCTGGAAGTATTTGAACAGTTTGTCAGGGCCTTTGCCCCTGAGGTCCCGCCTGTCACCGTGCCAGCCTCCCCCCAAGGCAAGTGTCATCTGCACCTCAGGACAGGGGAGAATTGCAGGGGGGTTATACCCACCTGTGTCTTCCTTTCTAGGGTAATCTGGATGCACCCTGCCTGTTTTCTCTGTGGTGTTTTCAGGGAAGCATTTGGAGTGTGGGCTGAAGTCCACCGGTCATGGGAAGCCCATGTGCAAGATCCATAGGCACACTTGTCAGTGGAGACAAAATTCCACTGGAAAAGGGCATGAGGAGCTTGATCAAACCTTAGAATTAGCTCTGTGTCTCTTCCCACCTCAATCCTTTTGTGCTTCTGAGTTGCTTAGGTCGAGTTTGTTTTTGTTTTGCTGTGATTGACTTGGTTTCTGCGGGTGAGTTTATGTTTCCGTGTAGAAAAGGTTCTCTGCAGAAATCATTTTCTCACAGCTCTGTGCTGTTTGGAGCCATGTGCAGATGAGCCTTTGTTGTTCTTACTATCCTTAGAAATGGGTAGGAAAGAGGCATCAGGAAGGAGATGGGAAAGGGCTTCAGGGAGGAAAAGGAGGGGAAGGTCTCGGGCCATAGACACAAAGCAGCTCTGGAGAAGTGATGAGCTTTGGGGATGGCCTGTGTCCAGTTACCATCACACTCCAGCAAGGCAGGAACTATGAAAAATGAAAGGAGACATGAAGTCAGCTCTGTGGACTGCGAGAGCCCAGGCTGAGTCACTGTACCCTAGAAAAGAGGATTACAGAATCCCTTTGGAAAAAACAGCAAGAAACTGGTAAATATATTATCTGGGACCCTGGTGGACATCGGGGCCAGGAGGAAGGAGCAGAAAGGATTTGAGCACTTGATGTGCTACTGCTTCCTTCCATGGAGTTCTCTGCTGGGATTGGCACATCCCTGGGAGATGGGCTGGGATGGCAGAGCTTTGGTCTGTGCTTTGTTTTGTAGCTACAATGAGGCTGTAGTTCTGTCTGGTTTATTTATAACACACGTCACTATTTTGGTCTGTCCATAAATAAATTGTATGACTGGCAAAAGATGATATAGCGGATGGACAGATTTTAGTTAAGGTAAATTACACAATGCTATAGAGCAGTGTTTAAAAATGGGCTTTGATTTCACCTTCCTCTTGAGCAAAAAAAAAAAAAAAAGTCTGTTGGCTATTGATAACAAACCTAAAAGATTTATTAAAGTATTTGTAGTTTCCTTTCTTAGTTGTCCTTTCCAAAAATGCACATCCCTGTTGGAGAAGTGTGTTCCACTAAGCAAAGAACATTTAAGGCCTTTTTTTTTTTTTTTTCAGTAAGAAGGTGTTTATTTCCAAGGAATTCCCACAGAATTTACCTCCATACTACTTCCTTATTTTTTTTTCCACGAAAAGTTGTGATTAACTTCCAGTTGTCACCACAGGGGTTCACATCTGGTTATGCCCATCCTAGAGTGTTGACTTGTAAGATTGTTCTGGGGAACAGGATCCTCAAGGGCCAGTTGCTGTTTTCTCTTTGTGTCAGACAGCTCATTTCTTATATAAGAAATATATTCTACCTGTTCCTGAGGTAGAATCTGAAGAGAAGCCATCCCTGAGCAAAGCCTCACCTCGTTTGACTGGGCCTGAGCAGGGGAAGGGAGTCAGGCTCACTGGGAAGGGCAGCTGCAAACCTGCACCGGGTCCTTACTCTGAGGCTTGGCAGAATTCCCTGTATTTCTCCTGGAGATCTCTAACCTTCTGGATTGTGTGGTGGTTGTGGATCAGGAAATTAATGGAGCTTCTGGAGCTGTGGCTTGTGTGAGCTGGTACCAGCTGGTTTCTGGCTTTGGGAGTCCCTGGAGGAGGAGGAATTGCTTTGGGTTTTGGGAGGTGGAGACCTGGGCAGAGGGGATGAGTGGTGTTACAGGACAATCAGCTCTTGTGCCCTATTGGGGTGTATGTGGTGTGCAGAAGAGGAGGAAAATGGCACAGTGCTGCTGTGGTCTGCTTGGGGGATGTCTCTGCCCCTTCCAAGAGAGGAAAAATACGATTTTATCATTCCCTTGTAACGCAAGGGAGGGGGATCTATTGCTGAAGTGAAGTGTCAGAGTCCTTTGAAGGACCGTCTTGGTTTGTGGTAGTTTTTGTTCCAGTTGAGTCATTCCTCCTGGTTCCTCAGGGTGCTGGCAGCCTAGAGTGCCTGTGGGATGCAGAGATCAGGGAGCAATAAACCTGTTTGTGAGAAGGGCCTATTATAGAAGTCAAGTGGCTGCAGTGGCACCTCGGGGTCTGTTCCAGCCCTGCATTGTTTGCTGCTGTGAGGGACCAGCACGAATTTCCCTCTGCTGGGATCCAAAAGAGAGAACTGCTGAGGGAGTTGGTCCTGGCTGGGCAGGGCAGCAGGATGGGAGGGGGTTGGTGAAGGCACAAGTGGTGCTGTGGGACAGTTCTCCAGGTCAGATCCCCCTCCCCAGACACATCCAGCCTGGCTGGGCTTTGCTTCTTTTACTCTGCTGAGGAAAGAGCAGAAGGCAGCCAGGAGAGGGGTGTGTTCCATGATCCCAAAGGGAGCATCCAGCTGAACCCCTGCCACTGCCTCGGGTCACCTGCATTGTCCTGCTGTAGGATAGAGTCACCAGGGCTGGTGCTTCCCCCATCCTACAGCCCTGCTGAGCCCCAGGAACACTTTGGGGCTCAGAGCTGGCCCACTTTGGGCTCCAGCATCGCTCAGGATCAGCCCCAGAGGGGTGCAGTGTGTGAGAGAGCAGGAAAAAGCAAGGAAGATGGGAGGGAGAACAGATGGGGGTGATCAGGCCTGTTCTCCAAAGGTTGAGAGCTACACTTGAGGACTGTTCAGACTCTGAGCACTGGTATTGATAGAAATATTGAAGGCTGAAAGTGAGCTTCAACTTTTCCTGTGTTTTAAGACACGGGAGAGGAAAACTCGGAGTCCCAAACTCCAGGTTAATGTGTTCTGTACAGAGCTGATCCAGAACAGAAGTGTACTTTGGCTGGCATGTGTGCCAGTGTCCCTGCTCCTGAGTGGGACAGCTTTTAGGAAATGAGAGGTCCTCCTTGTTTAAAGAAAGAGCAGTGAAGCAGGGGAGTGAAGAGGAGAAAAGCCTTCCTCGTGGTCTCTGAGGACTGGGTTATAAAGTATTATAAACTGCAGGTAAAAACAGGGCTTGAGGAAGGTTTTACAGTTCTCCACCTTCCTGAGAGCAAACCCATGGTAGGCTGGGGGATCCAGTGTGTGTTAAGAAAAAAGCTCCAAGTTTATGGAAATTAATAAGGCAAAGAGTTTAGTTCATTCATCATATACATTCTTCTGCATTTAGTGATCTCAGACTTGGCTGCTTTATCCTCAAACCGTTTTGTTTGGAAACAGTCAGAATAAACAAACTGAAAGTCGCAGCTGTATTTACTTGACTGTTGCCTTCTGAGCCTTATCACATATGTTGTTACATTAATAATAACTCCTGCAGTGGAACCATTGTGCAATGGGAAAGCCTATTGCCTGTTCCCAAGGAATAGTGTCTTTGTGGGGGAGCAGGGAATTCATCAGCCCTTGGCATTCCAGCAGCTGAATTCTGCTTATACTGTAACTGCTTGTCAAAGTTGAAAAAATATTCCCTCCCATGTCAGAAAAATTCTCTGGTTTAGGATCTTATTGTGTGCTTAAATACAAATCCTGCCTGTGATGAAAAGCATTGATGTAGGGCTGGAACTAGAGATTCATTGGAGATGGGATCCAGGGGGATCACTATATCAGCCATGTGTTTATTACAGACAGGGGAAGACTGATAGGAAAAGACATCCAGGGGTTGCCTAATGGCACTGTGCTGGCTGCTCCTAATTCTGATGGGAAAATTGGTTTCCCAGTGCTTAGTACTTGTAACAAAATCAGGTCTTGGGCTGTAGGAGTTGGGCACATAATGAAGGACTTCCTGAAACTGAGAAAGCAAATCTTTTCTTAATTTGTCTGTGAAGCAGCACTTTGTCAAAGCTAATTGTGTTCCCAAGGGGTAGAAAATGTCCTTGTTGTGAAGGTAACTTTGGTCATACTTGAGGCAAGATGTTTGTGTGGGTGGGTGCTCTATTTCTAAGGGGAAATACTAAAGAGCAGGTCTTGATACTTTGCTGTTTATGGGGCAAAGTGACAACACAGACCAGCATGAGAAGAAATAACCTTGTCCTTGTGTGTGGTGTTGCTGAGTTGCAGAGTGTGTAATCAGTCATAATCCAGAGTTACACATGTCAAATGCACAGCAAGAGCATCAAAGCAGGTGTGACATTCCCTAAATTTGCAGTGTTTCATAAAGCAGGAATTTTTAATGGACTGTTTAAGACATGCATTTTTATCCCTGTGGTGGGTTTAATTTTCTCTAATCCCCGGGAGCACAAGCAGTGTTTTCCTGCTCTGTGTGCCGTGCTGTTAAAAGGTGTTTGTTATTCCTTATCTTTTCAGGTTCAAAGTAAACAAGAGAAGAAGCCTGGAGCTCCCTCCCTAGCCCCCCTGAAGCCCTCAGTTGGCCCTTGCACTCTCCTGCCTGTGAATAAAGCCACCAGCAGTGCCCCCTTGTCCATAAACATTCCACGTTTCTACTTCCCTAAAGGACTTCCCAATGTCTGCACTAACCATGAGGAAATCATTGCCAGGGTTGAAGAGGCCTTTTCAGAGTTTGAAGATGAGAAGGCAAACGTCTGTGAAATGGGGAAAATTGCTAAGGTAACTACTGATGGGCTTGGAGGTCTTTTCCAGCCTTGATGGTTCTGTGGTTCTGTTCTCTGGGATTTTAATTTTTGGGAGAGAAAGAATGAAATGAAAGCAAATCATTTCGCAACTGTTTTAGGGGAAAAAAGATCTATTATCCTTTTGTGCTGAAGTTTTTTGTTTAGATTATAGTAAACAAACTGAGCTCAGTTTGCTGGTTGTCACATTAGATGTATGTGTTCCTCCTTGCTTTGCTTTACAAAATGGTTTTCTCAGATTTTCAGCAAATACAAATGGCATTTTGTTCTTCTGTCCCTCCATAGTTCTGCTCAGAAGGTGGCAGAAACTTCTGTGCCTCCGTGGCTTCAGGTGGTGCCAGCTGCCTTTTTTGGGGCTTTTTGTAGCTGTCCCTCTGGGCTGGGCCTGAGCTGAGGGTGCTGCTGCAGTGCTGTGTGGGAAAGCACTTCCCAACCTCCACCTCCTTGGACACAGAGGAGGGAGATGCTCAGTGAGCCCTCAGCCCCTGAGATGTACATTCAGTGTCCATGACACAGGAGTCCCAGGCTGCTGAGGAGTTCTGGCTCCAGGGAACAGCCCCCAGCACTTGTGTGGGAGCTCAGTGCAGATGGTCCCTGCTATCTCCCTCCCTCTCTCCAGCCGTGGTTTTCAGTGCTGCTGATCTAAAAGTAGCAGTTGTCAGACACATCTTGTCTGTTCAGCCTGCCTTGAGTGCATCTCTGGCACTGTAAGTTGAGCAGTGGTTTTCTTCCCAAGAGCAGCACTTGTTTTCCAAGAAGGAGGGTTTTCCTGAAAGGAGGGACTAGGTTGGTTTTGTTTGTTTTTCGAGGAATCCAGGCACATTATTTGTAAATCTGCTCTGAAAATATAGATAGAAAACCTTCTTTGATTGACCAAAAAAGGTTTGAAACTGGTTTAATGACAAGACAGGCAACTGTGTGGGGCCTGTCATGTTCAAAGCAGGAGGCTGGTGTAGAAGAGATCCCTGTGCCTGGTCGGAGCCAGTTGCACTCCCTGCAAGGCCAGTGTTTTGTGGAAGTTCTGATGCCTGTCTGGAGTCAGGACAGTGGCTGGGAAGGTCTCTGTGGTGGAGAGGAGATGCCTGATGGCGTGAGCAGCTGTTTGGCACCATCCTCAAGCCTGCTTTGCTGAGGCCCTGGGGAGTCCAGAATGCCTGAGCTCTCACTGATGGCCATTCTGAGAGCAGCAGCCTCTGCAGAGCCTGGGTCAGAAGTGCTGTTCAGAGAGTCTTTTTGCTGGAATCAACCTCTTTCCATTTGTTCATTCCCATTTGTGTTACCCTGCTGAGATCCAGCAGTGTTGGGAAAAGAGGCACTGCACTGAAAACCATGGGATGGGAATTACTTCACCTCCAGGCATTTAACCATTGATTGTCTCTCATTAGAACTGAGGTTCCCTGGCTGCCAGTGAGAAGTGAGCCCATAAGGGAATGGGTCAGGTAGGTCTGTGAGGGAGCTGCTGTGAGTGGCAGGAGGTGCCTGTCTCCCTCCATTGCACTTGGTAGGGAATTTTGCTGAACAGCTCAGTCTAAGACAAAGTTTAAGACATTGATAGTCCCTGATCCTTTTCCCAGCCACTTAACAAAGCACCAAGTAGAAAGTTACTGGTGAATTCTCAACCCTGGCACACAGCAGATGGCACACAGGTCAGTCAGAAAGCCACTGCCACCTTATTTCCCTCATGTCAAGCCTCGATGGTGAGTTTGGTGTGTAAACAGGCAGGCTCCTCTTGGGACTGCTCTTGTATTCCTCTTTATCCCTGTGTTTCCTTACAGGTCTGTGGCTGCCCACTCTACTGGAAAGCACCTCTGTTCAGTGCATCAGGAGGAGAGAGGACAGGAGGGGTATCTGTGCACTCCTTTGTGTCCATGTGGAGAAAGTGAGTACAGCAATGCCAAATTCTCCTACTGGAAAAAGAGAGCAGCCTGCCACAGAAGTCTTTTTTTATTTTTTCCCCCTTACTTATTTTCTACCAGAATTTTCAAATCATTGTCTCTTCTTTAAATGGCTGAAAATCTCCATCAGCTTCAGTTTTCTTCCCTGAAACTCTCTGAACACTTGTTTCCATGTGGCATCAACAGACTTGTAAGCAATTGTATAGATGATAAGTTGTTTGGGTCTAACTGGCATATAAAATATCCCAACATGCTCCCCAGGAATATGCCAGCTCTTCTGAGATAGCTGATAGGTGTCAGTGGATTTTGGATGTGTTAATCATGGGCCTCATTGCTGCTACACTGGAGCACCAAGGGAGGGCCATTTGGGAATTGGGAGAGGAGGTGGATGACTGTGTTCCAGGAAGAAGGAATATAAAATAAAGCATCATCATACAAGTGGATACTCTGGGAGCTTTAATAGTTCCCACCTTCCTCAAGCATAAAAATCCATGGAGTTTGACAGTCCCTTGCACATCCCATTGCCAGGGCTGCCCTTGGAAATGAGAGCTCTGGATGTGCTGGGAGTGGAGGTGTGACATGGAACACACTTTCCCCCAGGGCAATTCAGGCTTTAGTCTGCTTTGTGAAACACCTGAACACCATCTCCATCTCCTCTCCAGAGAGAGTTCTAATTTTTTACTTAATGGTTCCTCTTCAGATTCTTGAAGTAGCCTTTAACCTTGAATTCCCAAAGGGAATCATATCATCATATTTCCTATGATGATGTTGTCAAAACAGCTTCTAGTTACCCTGGCAAAAGTGCAAAAATGTGAGGGGTGACTGTGATCGCTACGTTTGTCTTGACACAGACAATTTATTTCCTTCCTTAGGTTCCTCCAATTACTCCTAATTAATCCCTCATGTATGATACCACATATTTTCACTCCTCTGATTTTCACATCCTTCAGATATTTGCAGACTGTGGTCATGTCCCTCTTCTGTATCCTTTTAGCCACCCCTTTTCCAAGCCAAGCTTTCTATGCTTTTCTCACTTGAATTGCTCATTTTAGGAAAACCTTTTTTCCCCTCCTCTTCCCTTTGCCATTTACAAAATCTTTACTGGAAATATGCAAGGCAGAAGAAATGTAATGTTCCTGGTACAGCTGGGCTGAGCTCTGTGAGGACAGGTGTAGCTCTAAAACAGGTATCTTCTGTTGCTGAAGCCTGTTTTCAAGCACCTTAGTAGGTGACCTGGCTTTCAAAATGCTCCATGCTCACTGATCTCCTCAAGTCTATAGTAATTGCTGAATAGAAAATACTCCTGAATGTCAGATCGTTTAGTTTGTGGCTAAAACACGGCCTTGGGATTCTTCTTTGTGTGCCAGATTTTTTTAAGCTAAAACATTTTCTGCAGCTGATTTAGAATGTATCTGTCAGTTGACAGTTGCCATGATATGAATGTGCAGCCAAAGGATTGCTAAATCTAATCTTTCTTTGCTTATTTAAAAAAAAGCCTTTTTTTTTTTTGTAAAGACTGCTTTTTGTAGAGTAAGGAGGCCAGAATTAGCAGGAAACAAGTTCCAGTGACTTCTCTGCAGTTCAGTGTTGTGTTTGTACACTTTCAGGAGAGGGAGGTGGTGACTAATCACAGTAAATAACCAACAGTGCACTTGTATTTTCACAGTTATTAAAGAAACCAGGGTGATTTTCTGAGTAATTTATTGTTTCCCTTATACCATGTGAACAACTAAGTGTTTGATATATCCAGTATTTGGTAAATGTCATGGAGTTGCTCTTTGCATGAGTTTTTCTGTTTGGAGTGAATTAAGTAACTGTGATACCTTTGACCAGCAGTATTTTGCATTAGAAGAAAGCAGAGCCAAGAACTGATGTGTCAGATGCAAACTGTCAACCTAAGGAATGAGTTTGCAGGCTCCTCTGAATCCTGAGTCCTGCTAATGCTTCCCTTGTGCTGCTCTCCATCACTGCAGAGCACAGCAGCCACATGGGCCCAACTAACAAGGGATGTTCTTTGTCCTTCTCAGAAGTGATTTTTGTGGGTGAATATTCAGTTGCTGTGGTTTGGCAATGCCCTCAAATATTGAGCTCTAGGAAAGGGTTGCACTGGGGAGGGTATCTCAGGGCATCCCAGGGGGTTGGTGCTGTTGACTCCACTGAGAGCAGTGAGTGGACAGCATTTGGAAAAGTCAGGTTACTCACTGAGTAGCTGCAGAATCAAAGCAAGAACAGCCTCCAGTAAGAAACCTGGTTTGCCACAGCAGTGTTAAAACATGGAAAAAACCTCCTCTGGGTACCTTGGTGCTGCTGAAAGGTGTTGGAGGGTGTGCTGGTAGTGTGAGGTGAGCTCCTGCCTGACTTGGGGTGTGGGTACTGCCTGAGGGGAGTGCTGGGGCACCTCCTGCTCCACCTGTGCTCTGGGGCTGTGCTGAGGGGCAGGGGCTTGGGGTGACTCCTCACCTCTCCCACAGAGTCCTGCGGAACTGCCACGACGATGCTTCCAGGTTCACATCCCTCCTGGCCAAGCCTGGCTGTGACTACCTACAGCAGGAGGACTTCATCCCACTGCTCCAGGTACGGGGAAGGGCTGGGGACACAGCCACCTTCATTTTGCAGCTTCTTTATTTTCATGTCCTTAAATGTTTACCGAGGGCAAGCAGACCTTTGGTTTGAACAGCGCCTGAGTGGGGTTTATTTTGGAGTGAAAAAGAAATAAGCATTTCAAGTGGGCTCTTTTGCTTAAATGCCACCCAACTGTAAATCTTGCTAAAGGATTGTCAAAGCTTTGTGTGGTTTCTTGTGTCTTGTCAGGATTCATGTTTATCAGTGCCTGGTAACCAGGCTGAAATCTGCCCCACTCAGGTATTGGGGAAAATGCATGGTGCTGTTGATGCTCAAGCACAACATAAATGCATATTAGAAAAGTTGTAGAAGTTGCTTGGCAAGACAGTTATAATTGAATTTGTCTAGCAAGGCTACCAGATACAGTATAATGTAGAAATCTTGGCAAAATTCCCGCACTTCCAAGTGTTCTGTGTATGCCTCTCAACTTGCTGGTGCACAAGTCTCACTGCTTATTTTTTCTCTAATATTCAGGCTTAATCTGTGCATCCTGATTTAATTTCTTTTTTTTTTTCTTTTCATTCACGTGACATTTTTAACAGCATCATTTTTTAGTTATTTGTGGCTATTTAGGCAGGCTCTGGGTAGCTTTAGGGCTTCTTTATAGTTTCTCTATAAATCAGGTCCATCTCCTGCTCTGATCCTCTGTTGCTACTTTTTCCAGTCTTTTCTACGTATCCCTACATTTCTCCCCCCATATTGCCCTCGGGGCAAAACCTCTGTGGAGATGCTGCTTTGGGGAAAGGTTGTGTGTCTGCATTGGCTGTTTCTGTCTCTCAGACAAAAGTGGGGGTGTGGTGGGTAAATTTTGTCACGTCCCTCTTCATCTTTTCCCCACTGGGCACACACTGGCTGGTTGCAGCTCTGCCTCTCAGCTCCTGCTGCAATCCAAGGCGTGTCCAGTCCTGTTTGTCAGTCAGGCAAGCGCAGTGACACCATCTTACCCCATTCCATCAGCCCAAAATCTGGTCACGTCACACCCCTGAGGGCACCATGGCAGGGCAAAACCTGCAACACTCTTGGGGGGGAGAGGAGTCAGACACGTGGGAATTACACAGACATTGGTTCATGGAGGACCTGAACTGATCCAGGCAGGATCTGAGCAGTTTCTCTGGTATCTGCTCGTGCAGATTTGGCACCGTGGGCCAGTGGTTCACTTGCCTTGAGAAAGAGGCATCTCCACAGGTACTTCAAGTAAATTTTGGAAAAGCACTACACTATCTGTGAGCATTCTGAGGCTCACAGAGCTTTCATTGTTGTGAAGGACATAAAATGTGATTTTCTCAAGGAATGTGCATTTCTGAGACCTAGCTCTAACAAATGTTGGTATCTTCAATGAATGGAGATAAAAAGAGGTCTTGGAGAGGAGATAGTTGCATGGTCAACTAACTGATTTTTGTCTCATCAATGAAAATGAGTTTTCATCTACTCACTAACTCTCTTCCTTTGTTTTTCTGTCCTTAAGTAAATCAAAATGGCCCAACAGGTGCGTATTGCTCAGAAAATGTCTTATACTTGTAATTCTAGAAGGTTCACTTATAGATTAAAAAATGTCATTTCACTTTTACTGTTAATGCTGCAAATACAGTTTCAAGAGTAAGCAAAAGTACTGGTTTGTGAAACCCAGTAACTTCTCAACATTATAAGGAGAAGAAAACCCATTTCATTTGGCTTCCTTCTATCTTGCAGGATGTGGTGGAAACTCACCCTGGCCTGACGTTCCTGAAGGATGCCCCGGAGTTCCATTCCCGGTACATCACCACGGTAGGCTGCCTGCTTGGGTCCCCTGGGATCACTGTGCCAACCCTCCCTTTGGGACCTCTCACTGTTCCCATCAGCAAACCCTTCAGTTATTTAAAAAAAAATAGGTGTTTTTAATACATCTGGTAATGAGGTATTTTAGGAACTGCTTCCAGAGGAAGAACCAACCTGCTTGTGTGTACAAGGGGTTATTGAAAAGGTTAATAATGATTCTTTCTGGTCTTAAGCAAATCTATAAAAACATCTTTTTTGTCCTGATGAAGAGAAAGGAGGTTCTTTGGTCTCTGAGAGTTGCTAAGTCACCCTGAGTTGTGCTGGGCTGCTGAGACATGGAAGGCTGCCTGTAGGAAGGTTTCTGTCACTTGGGCATGGAGAACCTGGGATTGTTCCTGCTACAAAGCATCCACTGCACACAGGGATCTGCCATCCAGCTCTCCTCTTGCCAGAAGGCCTGCCTGGGCTTTCTGTGCCTCCCAGCTCTTGTGCCTGAGGTTTGTTTCTGGGGTTTGTTCTGTAGCTTTGTTCCAAGGCTGCAGTCAGCACTTAGGCTGAGTAAGTTTGGACTCTCTTTGAGCTTGTCTCATGTCGGGCATGAATGTGGAGAAAAGGTATAAATGTGAGGATGTTTTATGTGTGCAGCAGTAACAAATTCAGAGAATGACAGACCTGGTGGGAGCTGCAGCCCAGCAGGGCTCAGGGCTGAAGGTTTCTCCTGTTTGTTTGCCAGGGCCTGCCTGGGACCAGCTGCACCACACAGGCAGCTGGGAGGTCACTGGCACACACAGGCACCTTGGGCCTTTCCTGTCAGGAGCAGATGGCAGAAAGACACTTTCCCTGGGCAAACCCTGAACTGTCACACTAATGTTTTTTGGAGGTGTATAAAGGGAACCAGTTGTGAATGTTTTAGATGCACTTGAACGTGATGGTGAACACCAGTGTGTGATGAACATGCTCCCCATGGAGCAGGGTACACAAAGCACAGTGACTGTCCAGCACAGGCAGAGCAGTGGCCAGGGAATTATGGAGGCACAGGAGTGGGTGAGTGTGCAAAGTGCCTGTGGCACATGTACTCTGGTATTTGGTGTTCAAGGTGCACAGAGGGGTGAGAGCTGAAAGGTTTGAGGTCCCACTGGTGTTGGTTTCTGACTGCAGTATCAGCAGCTCGGGATGCCACGTGTGATTGTCCTGGTGCTGCTGTTGGGTGCTGACAAAGGCAGCTCTGTGCTCTGCCTTCACGGGTTCCTCTTAAGTCACACACTCTTTCTGTACTTTTCAGGCAAGAAACAAATGTCTTTGTAGGGTAATCTGCCACATGGTCACCCCCACTGCACTTTCTGGATCTCATGGGTTGTGGTCTGAGAGACCAGCTGTGTGAAGCTGAGGTTCCACTTCAAGAAAACTGAAGTGCAGGCTCCCACTAAAGGGCACCACCTTTTTCTTCCTCTCTCCTTCTGCACAACTTCTCTGGTGCCTGGGTACCACCTCTGTCCCCACCATAAAGCAGTCACAGAACCAGACCCCCATGAGTACATGGAGCTCCTCTGTGCTCCCTGAGCCTGCCCATGTCCCCACAGTGCTCCCCTGCTGCAGTCAGAGCCTTTAGCACTGAGTGTTTGCACTCCTGGGACAGAAGTGCAGCCAGGGCAGGTGGTGCTTGTGGCTGAGGCCAGGGCTGTGCAGCAGCAAACCTGAGCAAGGTGAGCTGTCCTTCAGCCTCCTCGTGCTTGGGGTGTCTGTGCTGACAGCCAGGCCCTCCCTGGCTGGAGCAGGGTCAGGAGAGGCAGGGCAGGACTGGCGGGCAGGCTGCTCCCTCCTGCAAGGCGGCAGCACTTTGCCCTTGGCAGCAGTGGGAGTATAATTCTCACCTCTCCTTGCACAGACAGTCTGGCACGTCTCTCGTTAAGTTAACAAAATCCAGTAATAGAGTATTGATCACCAGGAACGTAATTGAAGAGACAGCTTTCCCTTGGATTTTGAGCACTACTTGGATCATTATTGATTGCTCAGTAGAGTGCCTTCCATATCACTTCACCTACAGTGACGAATGCTGTGTTTTGCATGCAGTGCAAGAATTACAGTTTGGTTTGTTACAGCGTGGGCTCTGTAAGGAGACATGCTTTAGCGTGTTCCTGGATACAACAGCACTATGTTGCTGAAATCACTGCGAGAGCGTAGCTCCAGTCTAGAATGGGGTAAGATGCTGTATGCACCTTTCAATTCCACTGCCACTCTCAGCACCTTGTAAACAGGTGCCTTTTGGACGCCCTGGCCTGGAATTTTAATCTGTATCATATCTGTGAGCATTGGTCGTTACTAATTAGTTTGTTGTTTCAAAGAACCAACTCCTGAGGCTGGTTGAAGATAGGTGCAGACAACATTGTGCAGAATTTGTTTGTTAAAGCTTTAAAAGTTGACTTCTACAGGAACATTCAGGCCAGGTCTCGAGCTGACTTGCTGTGGAAAGCTTCAGCTTAAGCAGCCTAAAACACATGCTTGGTGGAAAAGTGCTCTCAGTTGTGCTGTGACCTGTGAAATCTGTAAGAGGAGGATGTGAGGGAGTAATAAAGCTTGTGGGTTTTCCCAGAAGAGATGTGCTTGTGTTCTTCTATGGGAAGAGTGGGGAAAGGACTGGAACTCATCTGTCAGTGGTTTGGGTCCTGGAGGTCGATTACATGAGGATAATGGGCAAATAGAAAGGGGCTCCTCCTTGCAAAGGCTTATCAGGAGTTGGACTTGATGATCCTGGTGGTCCCTTCCCACTCAAGATATTCCAGGAGCCTATGATTATGTACTGAATTCAAAATAAACAACCTTCCATGCTGGGAAAAACAAAACCAGTTATGGCTTTCAGTAAGACAAAAGTGACAAACGTGTCTTAAATACTGCAAATCATGTCAGGCTGGGTGATTATGGTCTGGGGTGTTTCCCAAATGCTTTTTTTTTTTTTTTGGCAGTTTGGTTTTCACAACCTGGAAAAAAATACAGAACTGTTGAGATTTTTATTCTGATATATATACTGTGTACTACTATCCATTGCAACTGGACTGTTATTTGAGTAATAAAGCCTGCACTGAGTGACTGGACATGGTAAAAGAGATGAAAATGGATCCCATTTTACCTTTGAGTGCCTTAATTTTACAGCTCAGTGAGGAGGGAGCAGATGGAACATCTTTGTCAATGTGGTCTGATACATGAGCAGTTTCTTATGTGTCTCAGATGGGAATAGTTTGTTGTCCTTTATTACCCTGCAGGCAGAGGAGAAGAATCCCTGGTGTGGGGTGGGGTTGCTGGTTGTGAGTCCCTGGAATGGTGTGAATACCCTGTATCTTTAAGAGCCAGGACAGAGTTGTCAGGTGTGATAACGGGTTATGGACGAGGTGAGACCCACTCCAGTCTCTGAGCTCTTGTGCAACTGGGAAGCAAAAGCCAAACAAAGTCCAAAAATAGACTCCAGAATGGCAGTGGCTGCCAGAGGCATTAGAGGAACAAACACAGAGCTTTTTCATTGTGCTTAAGACCAGAAAGGATCATTGTGATTACCTAGTATGACCTCTGACACAGGCCAGAGAACAGTGCTCAGTGATTGCTGCAGTTGGGATAGATCTGTTCTGTGTTTGGTTTTAATTGATCTGACACCCAACTTTAGAAGGACATCCACCTTCAAGGCCTGGAGTGATGAAGAGCCTGCAGTGTTACCAGTAGGTGTCATGTTCAGCTGAGTCTGTTAATTCTCTCTCTTCAGGATACGTTTTCAATCCTCAAATCGTTCTTGTTGCTCTCAAAACTGTGTGCCATCAGCATTTACTGTCTCACTGATCTGTGTATCCCAAAGCAGGCTGTGCAGAGCAATGTCATACTTGGTTCCAGATCTGTTCTGGACTAAGAAGCAGCACTTGTGTGACTGATCCCAAGCACGGCCCTTCAGTGGTGGCTGCCCACTTGAAACTAGTTCTAGCTAAGAGACAAACCCACCTCCTTTCATTTGTTAGCTGGATTAATCCCTGTAATGTCCATATTGTTGTGTAAAGTTAATTTTTGTGTTGGAATAGGATGCACTGAAGTTTACCAAAATTTTAGGATAATGTGTCAATATTTCACAGACATCAAAGGTTTGTATTGGGTTTGGTCAACAAGAATTATCTTCCCTAGATTTCAGTGCTGAGCCGTGTTAGTTCTATTTCTCATTTCTCATGCTGGGATGTTTATTTGTTGTTGTTTGCCCTGTAGGTTTATTATTGCCTGTGCTTCCCTACTTTGTGCTGATCCTTGACAAGGTGACAAGGAGCAGATTAGGAAGGGCTCAGCTTTTTGAGGTGCTTGGGAGTGTGCTCAGTCTCATCCCCTGAGCTGTTTCCTTTGGTCCCTCAGGGCTCTGTGCATCCCCCATGGTTTTCACTCCCTTTCACCAGAGGGAGATCAGGAAAGGAGACAAATGAGGTTCACAGCTCCCCTGGATAAATGCAGACAGATAATCCCTGTTGCTCACTTTCAGGGAGCCCCTGGAACACGAGACATTGTTACAGGCACAATAGCTCAGACATCAGCTGTGCCTTTCATTTACACTCCTGCTTCCTCTGCAGGAATCAGAAGTCCTGGCATTTTCTTTCCCTAGTACCTGAACCTAGAACCCTGTTTCATTTGAGATCCGTGCAAACTGCAGCCCCTAAAACCTGCTGAGCTCGGTTTGAAAGTGATCCATCAGCACTCTGAACATGTTCCTGCCGTAAATAATTCATCTGCATGCCCAAAGAGGTGAATTAAAAGCAGTGAAAGTGTTTGCAGAGTGGAGACGGGCAATACTGTTTCAAAAGCAAATGTTACTTTTAGGCTGTGTAGTGAATTAAGACAAACAAGATCACCAAGCAGTTTGCAAAAAGAGGTGTCCTTAGACTGAGTGAATAAACAAAGTTAGTGTTTAAATTCCCAGAGTGGAGTGTTTCAGGAGCTGATTTCAAGAGCACTGCTCATGTGTTGCAGGTTATACAGAGAATATTCTACACCGTGAACCGCTCCTGGTCTGGGAAGATCACTCTGACAGAGCTGAGGAAAAGCAACTTCTTGCAAGTACGTTGGTTTCTGTGTGAGGGAGATCCAGGATGCACTGTCCACGATCCCGTGGCTGTGAGGAGGGAGCTGGGCCTGGAGCAGGACAGGCTGAGTGCTCCATGCTGGGAGAGCGCTGGGGCTGGTGGAGGAACTGGGTCAGAGCTGAGCTGAGAGCAGCAGGGGCTGCAGTGGCCAACGGGGCACTGGGAGAAGGTCAGGGGGGACCAGCACCAGGTCTGGAGCTGCGTGAGCAGCCTCTGTGGTCTGGCCAGGCAGGAAGGGCAGCAGGGCACAGCAGGGCACCCTGTGCAGTGGCTCCCAGGCAGCCAGGAGGAGCTGCTGCAGTGCCAGGGGCAGGACAGCCCATCTCCTGCCTCCCAGCCCTCTGACAGCTGGTCCTCACCCCAGGAGCTGATCCCCCAGGAGAACAAATGGAGCTGAGGTCTTGTTCCAGTCCCTGCTGTGCCCTTATGGCAGCATTTGGATCTCTGTCCTCTGCATGTTTAATCCAAAAGAGGACCAGCTTAAAACTGTCTAAGGCTGCTCGTGTCCAGCCCAGCCTAAAGAGCCACAAAGTCTTCAGGCTGGAGGGTGAAGGACTTGGCTAAAACAGTGAGAATCTCTTGGGCAGAAAGGCTGTGTGGAGGTTGGCTCTCAGAGCTGTGTTCACCCAGCTTCCTCCAGCCTGCAGCACTTCAGCTGCAGAGCTGCCTCTTCTCTGGGCTTAACTTCCCACTTCATTTGTGCTCTTTCAGACCCTTGCTCTCTTGGAAGAAGAGGATGACATAAATCAGATCACAGACTATTTCTCCTATGAGCACTTCTATGTGATTTACTGTAAATTCTGGGAGCTGGACACTGACCATGACCTTTACATCAGCCAGAAGGACCTGGCTCGGTACAGTGACCAAGGTACGGTGCCTGCAGGCTGTGCTGGGACCAGGGGCACTGCTGGAAGTACAGTGTTCTCACTCAAGAGTAAAGCCTCAAAAAAAGCTTAAATGGAGCCATCCATCTCTTAAGTAAATGCTGATTTAGAGAGTGAGCTGCAGGGGCTCAGACACAGAGAACTGCAGTACACACTATTTTCTGCATGAGTAGCTTCAGATGGAGCTTCTGTTCACATGTGGGCCGCTGCCAGAAGCTAAAATAATGCCCTGAAACATTATTATTTGCTGAGGGTTTTGCAGGAACTTGGAAGTAGGGACAAAAAGGACAAACCCATGTGGACTTCCAAGATTGCTGAAGTGCAATGAGAGAAATTCCAGAGTCCAGTGAAGCTTGGGGAAGTTCAGGAGAACATCTCCTGAGTTCAGTGTGGAACCTCCTTTCCACAAGCTGAGCAGGTGCTGTGAGTTTTCAAGGGTTCAAGGACCATGGATAAATTAATGGAATACAAATGCACAAAGGGCTAAGAAGCCCCCGTGTTCCAAGTGCAGGTGTTTGTGGAAGGCCATGGGGGCTCTGGGTGAGTGTGGCAGTCCCAGGGTCAGGAGTGGTGATCGTAGGGCTGGGAAGGGTGAGGATGGAGAGGTGACAGGGGACACTTGGTCCCTGCTGGGAGGCTGCAGTGTTGGGGGGGAGGGTTTGTTGCACAGGAGGTTTGGGGGTTACCACAGCCTGTGCTCTGCTGAGAAGTGTTTTGTGGCATTTGGTGTGTTATTTTGTCTTGGTAACTGAACTTCTACTGCAGTACACACTGAAATAGTCTCCTGCTACCGGTAGGGTTGCTTATGTGACAAATCCTTCTTCAGCAGAGCAGGAGTAACTGCCCATGTCCAAGGATCCAGATAAAAGTTGCCATTTTCGTGGGACAGTGTGGTGTTTGGGAGAATACAGAGGCAGACCCACTGGGACAATCGTCCTTGGTTTTTATAAAATGCTGCTGAACAGAGAGAGGTCAGACAGGCAGTACAGGCAGTGCATTCTGTTGGCAATGGGAAATGGCTTTGTGTAGATTCAGCATAAACAATGATTGCAGTTATTCCTCTGACCTGTGGCTTCATTTTCTCCATGTTTTCTCTGTTCCCAGCTTTATCCAACAGGATAATTGAGCGAATATTCAGTGGCGCTGTGGTGAGGTGAGGGGGACTGGGAAGGGAAGGGAATTCCTGCTTGGGGAAGGGAATTCCTGTGAGGTTGCTTAGACATGCAAGTTACTCTCAGAAACCCCCACTGATCAGAATGGTTTCCAATAGGGTGCTCCAGCTGGAGCTGCCTGAAAATGGAGAGAGACTTCTGGGTATCTTAAGAAAACAAATTACAAAATCCCGTAGGATGGGATGGGTGGACATAGCTGGGTGATATTGCACAGGGATAGCTGGAGAGCAGTGCTGGAAAGTCTCTGGAAGGTGAAAGAGCCCAGCCCTTGCAGTGGGAGGGGATGTGGTAGATGAGCCTCAGCTCTGCAGTGACAGCAAACGCTGTGCCTGGTGCTGGAGGTGCAGGGGGTACAGGCTGAATGGGTGGTGATGCCCCATTTTCTCTCACTGATGATTTGGGACTTTTGAAAAATATGTTTGCTGACACTGTGAGTATTTAGGAGCCTGGTGGGTTTTAACACTGTTTTCCTGCTGTGTGTTCCAGAGGCACTGAGGTTCAGAAGGAAGGCAGGATGAGTTATGCGGATTTTGTGTGGCTTCTGATTTCGGAGGAGGACAAAAGGAGTGCTACAAGGTCTGACTGATTTCTGTGTCTGGTGAAAGTACTGAGATGAGCACAGAAGATACAGAAACTTCTGTGACCTGCCACTCTCTCCAAGAGACGGCAGCTTGGGTTCCATTAGGAGGAAAGCAACTTATGGTCAACTCTTGATCAGATCATTTGCCTTTCTTGAAGAGAAATTGTGTAGAAGCAGAGTTTTCTTGTAATGTTAAATGTCTTGGTAGTCATCAGTGCCTTTGGTTCCCCTGTGCCATGAAGGACTGGCTCTGGGGTGGAACCCCTGAGGAGCTGGCAGAGGTGAGGCATGTTCTCTTCACACGTGTACCGAGCGTGCAGGAAGGGTTTGTGGGGAACCTTCTCTTTGTCCCTTTTTAAAACCTGCCCGTGGCCTGGTTTGTAGAGCCAGGGGGAGACTGCTGTCCAGAGCTCATCCAGGTCTGTGTGTGATTACTGGGACAAGGAATCTTCTGCATAAGAATGAGAAGAATTCATAATGTAGGGTTGGAGCCCCCAGAGGTGCAGGGTGGGCTGCCTGGGAGCACTGCCCTCTGTCTAAAGGAGCAGAGCAAAGCAGAGCACACCGTGCCTGCCTTGTCCCTCACCAGGGTCCCCCAGTGCCCTGGGTTCAGACTTGGCTGGATTTGGCCAATTCTTAATGCTGGGCCGGGCAGGGACACCCTGACCTGTGTGAGCCCCTCGGGCTCGGCACAGTGGGCACTGTTACAGCTGCCAGGTGAAACAGGTCGTGAGCAGGGCTGTGCTCACAAACCACCTGGGAGACCACCAGGACGTGCTTTGGGTGTTGGCCTGTGCCCTGGCCCTTCCCAAAGGATATTTTCATCCCTGGGTTTGTGCCAGCTTTTGGGCAGAGGAGCCTTAGGGGATGGGAGAAGGGGAATGTGCACTGCTGCAATCTGGATGGATTTGTAGTGCAGTGCTGAGCTCTCCCTGTCCCTGTTCCTTTGCCAGCATTGAGTACTGGTTCAGGTGCATGGACCTGGATGGGGATGGAGTGCTGTCCATGTATGAGCTGGAGTATTTCTACGAGGAGCAGTGTGAGCGCATGGAGGTGATGGGCATAGAGCCCCTGCCCTTCCAGGACCTGCTGTGCCAGATGCTGGACCTCGTTAAGCCAGAGAGGGAAGGTAAGTCCTGTTTGATCAGAGTTCTCCTCCTCTCTGATCAGTGGTGAACTGGGAAGGAGATGTCCCTGTGTGACCAGTCTGTAGGTACTGTGTTGGAGTGCCAGAGGTGCAGTCACTGCACAGTCACTGCTCAGGGCTGGCTGTGCCATCAGGAGGCTTGAAAGACTAAAACAAGAGACACTGTGAATTAACTTGCTGGAACTGGAGCAACATGTCTTTTGTGTTCCAGCTGTGGGATGTGCTGACAGTCTAAATTATGAAACTGGACTTTCTTTCACATTCTTTCCCATCTCACATGAATGTCAGAGACCTCCATATGTATGTGAGATTTAAGCCTAATAAACACACCCATTTATTGAATAATGTTAAAATCCTTGACTGAGTTGGGAAGAAATTTGTAATACTGAAGCCTGCTGATGTTAAAGTTAAAACTGAGACTGACAAGGTCCAGTCTCCCACTAAGTAAGAACTCAGAAGCACAATCATGTGAGTTCTTTTTCTGTAGGAAGAGTAACCCTGCGAGACCTGAAGAGGTGCAGAATGGCTCATGTGTTCTTCAACACCTTCTTCAATTTAGAGAAATACCTGGACAATGAACAGAGGGATCCCTTTGCAGTGCAAAAGGTATAAATCACCTTTATTCCTAAATACAAGCTTTTTCAAACCCATCTTTGCAGTGCTCCTGGATGTAGGGGAAATCCAACTGAATATAAGAACAATTTTTTCACAAGTAGACCAGTCAAACACTGGGACAGGTTGCCCTGAGAGGTTGTGCAGCTTCTGTTCTTGGAGCTTTTCAAGATGTGATGGACAAAGCCTTGAGCCCCTCGATCTGTCCTCACAGCAAATCCTGGTTTGAGCAGAGCTGGGACTGGAGCCCTCCTGGGTCCCTCCCCACACGAGTTCTGCTGCTGTTCCATGATGTGGTTGCCATCCCTGCCCCTCTGGCACCAGCACTGGCAGTGAGTGTAGTGTGAGGGTGAAGGGAGAACCCCCAGAGCCTGCTGAGCTGCCCTGAGTCAGAGGCCAAGAGGGGGCTCAGCCCACAGGGAAGGTTTGGATGTTGCAGATTTTGCCTGCTTCTCAGCCTGGCTGCTCTGTCCTTCATCATCCTCTCTTCCCAAGCAAAGAAAATACAGGAGGAGGGTGTAGCTTTGGGATTTGGCAGCTGCTGCTCCCCACAAACTGTGGGATGTTCAAAGACTTGAGTTTTGTCAGCTGTTGGTGTGAAGGCCCTCAGTTGTGGCTCCCCCTGCACAGCCAGGGAAGCCAGATGTGACTGCAGCTTATTGAGTATCTCCCAGAAGCCTCTTATCTGCTCAAAGTACAGTGGAGGGGATGCCAAAACCAACTCTGTTTCCCTCACAGCTGTTCCCACATAATCTCCAAGAGAAACTTTGTGGTTCCATGATTCAAGGCTCAAATATATCCCAAGACAGAACCACCCTGTTTGTTTGTTTGTTTGTTTGTTTAAACTGGATCATCATAAGAGCAGTCAAGTAGGGCTGGGGAATAACCATCTTACAGTAATTGGCAGAGGGCCAAATATTTATAGGGAGTTATCCTGTAATCTTCTCTCAGACTTGCCCAAACTTAGCAAACAGTGAGGAGTCCCTCTAAAGTTCAGTTACAATTAACATTTAATGAAAAGATTTTACCCCCCAGGTTCTTCAGCCACTTCCAAACTGCACAGACACGGGGCGTGCTGAGCCAGGGCAAAGCAAGTGTGTGGTTATTGCCCTGCTGAGATGAAGCAGATACAGTTTGTTGGCAGCTCAGGTCTTAGAACTTACAGACTGCAAGATGTATTTTTTCATAGCCCTTTATGTGCTGATGCTCAAATACCCCGAGGTAATTGCGGGTCTCTCAATTAAGGCCATTTTCGAGTGGCTGTTTCTATCCAGTTGCTTTCTGTTGCTGGAATTGCTGTTGTGCCTGTGTGTGAGAGCTGCAGGGAGGTGTGACAGTCCCTGGCTGTGACAGTCCCTGGCTGTGTGGTCTCTGCAGGACGTGGACAGTGACGGCCCCGAGCCCTCGGACTGGGACAGGTACGCGGCCGAGGAGTACGAGATCCTGGTGGCCGAGGAGTCCGGGAACGAGCCGCTGCAGGAGGGGTGAGCACAGCCTGGCACTGCCCAGGGACACTGCACCCTCAGCTGGGGGCTGGGAGGAGCTTGTGGGTGCCACTTTCAGCAGAGGGAATGGATTAGTGGACTAAAAAGTGGATTTGAATCAGCTCCACCCACCCAAGAAGAGAGCTGGGAGAAAGGACAAAGCCTTTTTCTCTTGGCAACCGTACAAAAAAATCTATCCAGTGACTTCTGCTGGTGTTGACCATGTCACACTGTCACAGATGAGAAGCTGTAGCTCTGTTACATTTATTACACCTCCCAGAGACTTTCTTTGGTCAGATAATTTTACTTTCTGCCAAACTTTATGCCTGTTAGTCCGTGCTCTCCATAAGCTGTATTTCAGCGTTTTCATTCATTGACTTAAGTTTGTTGAGACTTTTTCTCTAATACATTTGTTTTCTGCAATACCTATACTCAGGTTTCTGCCTTCTGTAAAATTCTGGACAGACACACCAGCTATCTTTAGTCAGTGAATTTAGGCAGAGCAGTTGCTCCAGAATCTCTCTGTGTGCAAGGGCTTCCTGCAGATATGTGGAGACTCAGTATAATCACCTTTTTGATTTGTGTCTGGGTTGGTATCTTGAGAATATTTCTCTGGAAGTCTCCAGGTTTATATAACAGACGTGCAAGGAGTGCTTCCCCCATGTCAATCTTGCACGATTCAGGATTGCATCCCTTGAACAGCACTTGCAGAGCCAAGAGAGCACTGAGAAGATTGCATCATTGTCAAAACTTCCCCCCCTGGGAATTGCTTGGGATAACAGTAGCACCTACTAATTAGCCACAGAGATTTGCAGAGCCATTGAGAGCTGTTTCCCTCCCTGCCTGTGATGTGCATCCAAACAGCAATGGGCTGCTCCCTCATCCCCTCTGAGCTGCCTTTCTGTGGCCTTCACAATGGCAGATGAGGGAAGGCAGGATGGACATGGAATTGCTGCATTCCCTGCAGCTGCTCTGCAACACCTGTGTCCTCAGCACAGAGAGGGAACAGGAGGCTGCCATTAAAGCTGTGCAGGACCAGGACTCCCCAGACTCCCCAGAGCCAGAGGAAAAGCGGCAGGTGATGTCAGATGTGTGGAGTTTGTCTGAGGCAGCTCTGTGTCTTCCTGTAAAGAGCATGGCAGAACCTTGCTGCTTGCTTTTAAGAGCCCCTGAAAAGCTCTGTAGTCATGGCAGCAGGATTAGATCTCATTTGTGGAGCATAGCAACAGACCACGCAGGGAAAAAGGAAGGGGAAAGGAAAAACAAAGAGCTGGATGCCCAGACAAATTTGCCAGACACAGCCATTGAGTTTTCACACATCCATTATTGGTGCTGTCCTTTGAGGGTGACAGAAACAGGGAGCTGGGACAAAACCAAGACAATTCATGAGCTCTCTGAGAGAATGGAAGATTTTTGGCTAAGTTGGTCTTTGTCTTATTAATACATTTGAAAACAACCATCATTCAGCACCTGCAGATGATTTGGTGATCCTGTCCCAGGCTGTGGGATGCCAGGTGTGATTAGCCAGGCTGGGGCAGCAGTGGGCATGGCTTTGTTCACTGTAACAGCCTCAGCCAGCTGATGGACATGGAAACCACAGCTGCCCTCGTGGAAAGAGATCTTTCTCCAGAGGGTGGGAAATATCAGCTCCTGACAGGAAAACATCCCCTTTCTCTGAGCAACAAGGAGCCAAGGCAAAAGGCAGAGCATCCCAGAGGTGGAGAGGGGGACAGAGGCACAGGATCAGATGTACAGAGGCACGGGATCAGGTGCTGGTTTAGGCAGCCCAGCCCATGTCTCCCTCAAGTCACCTGATGGCTCAGCTGCTCATTTCCCTGAACCCTGCAGAGTTAAGGTGGGAAAGGGGGATGAAGGACATCCCTGAACCACCCAGAGCCAAAATGTGTGTTTGCCAGAAGGAAGGACAAAGAATTCCCTGGGGTAATTTGCCTCCTCTGAACAAGCTAGAGCTGAATCTTGAGGAATGGGTGTTTAACTGCACGAGCCCATATTTGTTTTTATGGGACTGTGGAGTTCTGAAACTGGCCTGGAAGGACGGGAGGTGACTGTCTTTAGTGCTGATCCCGTGGAAAAGCATCCCATGGATGCCTCTTGGCCATAAAGGTGGAAGGCATTTATTCCAAGATGGGAAAGGCAGGCACTGTTGAGCCTTAAGGAGCAAAACAGTGCAGTGGAAAAGGAACTCACCTGGGAAAGAGCAATGGGAAGCCCCTTTTGAAGCAGATATGAGAAGGTTTAGTCCAGGAGCAAAAAGCACATGGAAAACAATTTATAATGGAGCTCCAAGTGCTGGTGAATGTGTGAATCTGTGGAAGAGGCCACGTTCCACGTGCAGGAGAAGGAGGAACAAAGCTACCAGAAGTCAGTAAAGCTGAAGGAAAAGGAGGTGCAAAAGGAACAACAGTATTCACATGGAAGTACAGAGTTTTCCTCAGCTGCATCATAAACCAAGGAGTGATTAGAGAAGCTCAGGCACCTCCAAACATTCCCAGTCCATTCCTGGGTGGGGGAAGCAGGGCCTGCCCACAGGGACCAGTGAAGCAAAAAGTGGGCAAATTGCATATTTTCTGGCAAGCTGGCTTGCATGGTCAGAACAGTCACTGGTGTAGGACCCAGAGCATTGTTTCCCTTCTCCCACTTATGCAGGAATCCAGAAGGTGGCAGAATTACTAAGCAGGTGCTTCCCTTTGGGAAGAGTGGATGAAAATGTTGTCCGGGAAGGTCTCTCTGCTGTGTCCCCTCACCACACAGGGATCATCCACCTTCAGCACAGCATCCTCCCCCAGCAGGACACACTGACAGGCTCCAGGGTTGGGTTAGTGAAGGCAGAAACACCACAGGAAGTGGTAGAAAATTCCTCCTTGGCACATCCATGCTGGGTATTAAAGGAGTTCATCTTTTGCAGCCCAGAGCTGCACTGGAGCTGTTCCTGTGCTGGCCATTGAACACCTGCTCCAGCAATTCCTTGGTGAGCAGTGTTGCTTTCAGGACAAAAGGAAGAATTTTGTTTTCTGGGGAGCGCTGAGAAACTAACCTGGAGTGTGCTGAGACTGAAACATCCAAAAACATCCTGTGCAGGGCACAGGACCCAAGAGCCTGAGCTGGGAATTCACAGCAAATCTCCTCAGGCAATGAATGCAAGTCCTGGATATCAAACCTCAGCCTGAGTGAGAGAGGGACACCCAGCGTGGCCACAGTTGTGCTGTGCTGTCAGAACACACCTGAGCCAGAAGATGCTCTGCACACCAGGTGTTTCTGGGCAGGCCAAGCCTCCTCTGGGGCCTGACTTTATTTCTGCCCTGAACTGTTAAGGCTCTGGGAGCTACTGACAGTTGTTACTGAAACTGGATTCAAATTTTCTCCTGCTGAACACCAGTGGAAATTGGTTCTGGAAGTTCCAAAGGAGGATGGATGGAAGCACAGAGCCCTGGCAGCTCTGAGAGGGACTGCCCACACTGTTCTCAGTGCCTTAGGAACACCCTCCTCGAGCTTCACCTCTTGCATGCTCCTGTCTGTTAGCCACTGAAATAACTTACCTGACATCCAAAACACAGCTTTTAAAGACAGACCTTTTGTCTTTGCAGATCATGTGAAGAAGACTATGATACAGATGAAGTCTTATCTCCCCCTGAAACTGGAGACAAGTCAGACAAGCTAGTTCTCTCAGATCTCTCAGCATAGAGAAGTGGAAGACACTTAACCAATCTCTTTCAAACTGGAGAGCATTCAGTCCCAAGGCACTTGGGGGTTTTCTTAAGTCCAGCATTGGAACAATGTGCTTTATTTGTACACTGTAACTTGAGAACCCTTTTTCTCTCCCTGTGTAATTGCAATAAGGTAATTTCTATAAAAAGGCTTTTTACAATGTGCTCTCGTGCACACTCATTGCCAATGGTGATGGCACCTTGTTTCATTTCTAGATGAATTCTGTTGTGTCCCCAGATGTGCAATAAATGCCAGCATCTAATGGCTGCCTGTGCCAGCTGCATGCAGCACTGACAGTCAGTTCAGCTCTGTGCCACCCTGTCCCCTTGACTTTACACCAGGAATGACAAAGAGCTGCCAAATGAACTCCAATTTACATCCAGAAATCTTTTAAAACACAAGTCACAATCAAGTCCTTTTTGTTCTTCATGCCCTGGAAATGAAGGCAACATGAAGGGAGAGTGAAGTCCCTCTGTGATTTGAACCACGAGCTCCTCCACGTGGTACTGGACACATTTCCCTGGTACCCCTGTGGACAGTTCAAGCCCTCCACGATGGCACATTTCTCTGAGAACTGGAGACACAGTTCACATTTCTACTGGGCATAAGATGATCTGCCTCTGTCCAGTGTTTTGTCTCTGTAGAATTCTGCTTTGTACAGGTGGGGTTTGGTGTATTTACAAAAGAAAAGGACATCTGCTGTTGAGCTGGTGTGTTAAACTGCTGTGCCTGTGGTGCCCCAGTCCTGTCCATTCCCTGTTCTCCTCCTCCCCAGAGCCTTCTGTGACCTGGAGCCTTCTCCCAGAGCCTCAGCTGAGATACTGAAGAGAGAAACCAACCCAGCCTTTTAACTAGTAAAGGAATTAGTCTGTGTCATTGCCAAAAATTTATTTTCTCCCCATGAATTAAGCCCCAGTCAGAGAGGAAATGCTGTAACTAATGAGTTCTTGCTTTAAGTGCAAAAAAATTAAACTGACTTCCCCCCAGAATCCCAACTGGTGTCTCTGCTGACAGCACCCACTGCTGGAGCTGGGCCTCCCAGCCAACTAGTGCCTGTCTTTGGTTCCCAGGGGGTTAGAACATCCTCTTACCAGTTCCAGGGATGCACAAACAGATCTGGGCCTTGCCTTCCCAGCTGGCAGATTTTATTGTAACTGTCAGAGTTGGGCCCCAGTGTTTGGTGTGTGTGCACTGTGTGTCCTGTTCCCTCCCTGGAGAGCATCCAGCTGTGCCACCTGTGTGCATCCCTGCAGGATTTCTGTGTGCACCCCTACCAGGATTCCTGTGTGCACCCCTACCAGGATTCCTGTGTGCATCCCTACCAGGATTTCTGTGTGCATCCCTACCAGGATTCCTGTGTGCATCCCTGCCAGGATTCCCAGGATCCCCTCTCCCAGCAGGCCCCTCCAGGTAGCAGAGCCCCTGTGTGTGTCCCCACAGACACTGGCACGAGGGAACACTGATCCCTGTGATACCTCCAGGAGTTAACCACCAAATCAGTCATGGGCTGATCACTCCAGTGTGGCTTCAGCTTGTCCAGGAGCCTTTGGAGCCCAGCACCTGCCTCCCAGTGTCCAGTGGGATGTGGTGATGCCTCACTGGGGTCAGGAGCTCCCTCAGGATCCAAATCTGAACAAGAGCCAGTTTTCAGTTGTACTGGACTCAGAGATCTGTTCCTTTTTCCTGACCAAAGCTCAGAGTATACGTTCCAGAGGCACATATACCCCCCCAGGATCCTGGGCTTGGGATGTAGAAACTTTCGGATGCCCAGGTTGTTGGCAAAGGCCCTGCAGGGTGACTTGCATTCCATAATGCCAGCTGTGAGCAGGGAGCACTGACCAGAGCAGGAGCAGCCTCTGGGAATGCAGCAAACACACAGGGGGTTTGAATCCACCTCCATCACTGGAACCTGCAGGGGAAAACCCTCCCTGGGGCTCGTTCCACAAAGGCCCAAATGCAGCAGAACCTGGGGAATGACCACAGGATGGAAGTCCCACAACTGTTGGTTGTACCCAGCTCCATCCACCTTTTACTGGGAAGAACCTGGAGCAGGAATTCAGCCCTTCCCTGACTCCCAGGGCCCAGAGGGGCCTTTCAGTTGGATAACCTTTTAGATCTCTCCAAAGACAAAGATTCCTCAAAGCACAAGAAGAACCTGACCCTGTTCTAGGCCCAAGTGGAACCCCCTGGTTCTGCAGCATCACCAGCTTTGAGCTCCAGCAGCACTGGGGTGTTCCAGCCTCAGTCACCCACCACTTCAGGCTCTTCCTCCTTCTGCAGAGGGGCTTAAACTCCACCCATCCATCGGCCCAGGCTCCCATCTCCCCCCACACCAGCCTGGACTGGTGCCTTTCTTTGGAGAACTCAGTGTCTGGAGCCTGGTAAAACTCCCCAATTGCCTTCCCAAGCTTTGGCTTCAATAAGTGGACCCAGGAGGTTGTAGCTGCTCTGCTGAGCCCTTTGGCCCCCAAAGGCCCTCTCTTCTACAGACAGAGCTTCACTGCTGCTACAGCAAAGCAGAGTGAATCCAAACCCAATTCCTGCTCCTTGGTAGGTCAACACAAGCTAATCCAGGAAAAAAAACAATTTGCAGCAAATGTTTTGCATTATATATTAGAACAAGTTACAGAAGTCACTCTTTTTGTGGTGGCAGTGCAAAACCTGCAGGAATTTAAGTTATTTACTCCAGGAGCAGGAATCCATTCCCTGTCACCAGTGTACTTGAAAATATAACTCAGCAGGCAACAGATACTTTAGGAAAGAAGGTCTCCTGCACCCTGTTTGGGACTCAGCCCTGTCCACATCTCCTCTGGATGGAGGATTAAACTCTGCAGGATTTAGGTGAGGTAAAGTTGGGAGCTCCCATCCTACTTCTGAGCTTTTCTTTCTGGGATAAAGACAAGGATGCTTGTGTCCACAGCAGCCTCAGGGCTCAGCCAGCTCCTGGAGCCAAGCAACCAAGGAATCCCTGCCCTGAGGGCTTGGAGGAGCCCCCCTGGCTCTGAGTCTGCCTCCTGTCAGTGCCACTTGAGATGCTGCAGCCCTTTAAGGCCAGATCCTGCCTTTTTCCTTGCAAACCCGGCTCACACTGAGCTCTGTTTTGAGCTGGACCCCTTTTTCCTTAGGAGTGGTCAGAAAAGTGAGTAAATTCAGATTTGCTCGATAAAAATCCCTTTGTGCTTGCTTGTTCTCTCTGGTCTGCTGCTGTCCAGCAAAATTCCGTCCCCTGTCCTTACAAACCCCTCTGCTTTGGACTGTGTGTCCCCCGTGTGGTGTCTGTGCAGTGCTGAGATCACAGACACTCAGTGTCGCTGCTGCCCCGGTCCCAGCGGGATTGTTGCTTCCTCCCTCCCACCCCTCGGGGGCACTTGCTGCATCCCAGCTCCGGGAGCAAAGCCCGGGCACTGCCCCAGCTCCTCCCCGGCCTGGGAGTGGCACAGACAGGGACAGCGAAGGGATTCCAAAGCCTTCCTGCGCTCCTGAAGGAAGGGTTTAAGGGAGCTCCCTCGAGATGCTCTAACAAGGTACTGGGCTTAAGTTTCTGAAACAAAATAAGCCTGAAAGGCTAAAAAACGGCTCATGGAGGTGTGGTTTTAACAGTCTGGATCTGGAGTTTCTAGATCAGGGCTGTGCAAAAAGCCTTGAACCTCAGTGACCAGCACGAGCTACTGTAAGGAAAACATGAACAGAGCTTCCCCTTCTGTGCTCCTCTCCTGGCTGTGTCACTGGGGCAGGGGCTTGGAAACTGAGCATTTAATAATAATAATGGTTCTCATACTTTGTAAAAGTAGTTTTGGAGACATTTTGTGCTGGCATGGTTTGATCTTTGTATTTTTACTTCGTAATTTCTTCTTTTTTTTTGGCAAATAAAGGACTTTTGAGTTTTAAAAGGAAAACCTGTCCATAGTGATGGGGCAGAGTGTGACTGTTCACCTCCAGCTGCTGTCCCAAAATCACCTTCCCTGCTCTGGTGAGTTCACATCAGCACATCTGCCAAAGCCAGAATTCCAGGCTTTCTTCTCACAAACACCAGGACAAGGCAGAGTGACCACTTACCTGCCTCACATCCTCCTCCTCAGCACGGAGCACTGTCCCTGGGATGACTTACCAAGACACCAAGCTCCCTCATTTGAACCTGGCCTGAAAAAAAAGGAGACATCCTCTGGATCTTTTGCAAGTGGAATGAAGGAAAACAAAACAAAGAGGAAAAGGAAAAAAAAAAGGTGAAAAGAAAAAACAGGAAAAGCAGTGATGCCTTTTCTAATTTTTATTATATGCTAATGCTCAAGCAGAGTGTTGCATCACCAGGGGAGTGCCCGAGTGTGTCTGTATCACAGTCACCTTTTGGTGTTTTTTTTTAGAATATCAAAAGCACTTCAACTGGAAAAATGGACTTGTTAAGACCAAAGATGTGCCCGTGATGTTCCCAGCACCACCAGGAATAGCATTACCTGCCTTCCAGAGTGGATTTCCTCAGCTGTGCTGCACATTGGGGATGATTCTGCTTCTTTGGTTCATTTCACCTCTCCAAGCCAGTTAGCAATCAAAAGTTGTTTTATAACTATGATTTGTATAGAATTTAAATCCATAAGAAATGCGGGGGGGGGGTGGGGGGAGGTGGTGCTTCTTGCCTGCAGTAAAAAGGTGCTGCTGTGCTGGATGAGGCCAGAATCTGCTCCATTCCTGGGCCACATCTCTGTGAGCTGTTCCTTGAAAGTCCTGGGGTTTCCCCGGAGGAGCAGCTCCTTGCTGTGCCAGAAGTACCTGCCTGGGAGAACAGGCTGCTCCGGTTTTATTTCCCTGTAACTCTGCAGGTTTCTCTGAACACTGCTGTTGGCAGGGGCTGCCTGGGGGGCACTGCTGGCAGGGCAGGCTCTGCCCAGGGCCCAGCTGGTGCTGCCAGCAGGAACACTGGGGACAGGTCCCCATGCCAGGCTCTGCCCCCAGGGGCCACACGAGCCAGAGGGGGAATGGCCCCTGCTGGGAGAGCAGCCAAGGGGCCACTGCGCTTCCCTGTCCCTCCTCCCTCTGGGATTTAATCCCACCCCACTGATTTATCTTGGAATCACTAAGGTTGGAAAAGACCTCCAGGACCCCCAAGTCCAGCCTTTGCCAGAGCACCACTGTGCCCATGGAACAGCATCACCAAGTGCAGCATCCACTCCTTCCTTGGACATTCTGGAACATGTACCACGTGTGATGTGTGGGAAGAGCCTCTCCACTCCCAGGAGAAGGGGGAGAACTTCATTTTGTTGGAAGACCATGGTCAGACCTCACTGGTCACAGCACTAATTTTGTACCACTACCCATGACCATGAACTGCTGCTTTTTCTTTCTGATGCAGCTCTACAAATTACGGGGGTTTTAATGAAGTTTGGAAGTTAATCCCTGTCTCCAAGAGGACTGGGAAGAAAGCTGGAATATCACACTCTTGCCTCTATGAAAAGAAATCCCTGAGCAGCTTCCTCTGTGCTAATGCTGAGAACAGTTCCCCAGATCCACAGTCCCTCAGGAGGAACACTGGGAATTCCTGCTGGAGCTCCACTGATCCTTGAACTGCCACCAGTGACTCCCCAGGCCGGGATGGGCAGGGGGCAGGGCCCTGCTCTGGGGGTGTGGGGCTGAGGTCTCCCTCTGCTCTTGGACCACGGGGAGGAAGGGCCCTGACCAGGAGAGTTTCCAACTGGGACCGCTGCAGTTCCTGCCAGCACCGAGCTGAGCCCTCCCACTGCTCAGCTCCTCAGGAACAACTAGCCAGGAGGGCGACGAAACCAAAGCAAGCCAAGCCTAATTTAAACAATTACAGAATTAGTCATCACTGGACTAAGTAGTACTTAGAGTAGTATTCAGACAATAAGTTCAACATATGCCACACTGATGCCCTCAGCAGTTGCAAAATAGAATTAGAAAACTAACATTTATTAAATCAATTTGAATTTTAATATACATTTCAAGAATGTGGCAGCATAAAAGGAAATGTTTTTAAAAACAACCTGAATCTACCATTTGCAGTTTTACATGAACCATCAGGGCTCTCCTGTCGACAGCTCCAAAACACACTTGACCTAAATTCTCCAACTTTTGGTACCACACTGGATGCAGCAGTGAGATAGTAAAGATTCCAAATACTCCCACATTTCTGGAGCAAAGGTACTTTGTATTTAATTTAATGAAAGTCCTAAAAATGTACCATCAACAATCTCAGCAAAACTTAACAGCTCTGCAAAAGCATTCCCAAACAACCCATGCTGTGCAGTTCACTCCCAGCTCCGGGGGCTGCTTCGCTTACACGTAGTGGACTAATAAACAGATTTACATTAGTAGGTCACGATCAAACCACCAAATTAGGAACTGGTAGGATCCTTCTGGGTCAACACAAAAATCACATACAAGTTTAACTAAATACATTTTAATAGGACATCGTTAAATCTCAGGAGGGCTAAAAAACACAGATCTTAGGTACTCGGGTTGGCAAATAAAGACAAGAATACTAAGAAGCATTTTCCACCATTTACTCATTATCAAAAATATTTTTCAACTCTTCTTGCAAAACAAAAACAAAAAAGTACAGACTGGACACGTACATCACATTTTTCTTCCTATGGCTTTAACCCCCCACCCTGCCCACCCCACAGAAAAGACGGGGGGAGAAACAAACCAAAACCAACAAAAAGCTCTGACCACATTCACAGAAAATGACACCATGGTACACTACAAAACAAAAGGAGGTGCCATTTGTGTCCAAAGGGGTTTGCTCATGTCTCCGGTGAGGAACCGCCACTGTACGTGCTTTGTGCCAGGTCAAAGCCCCCGGCACCGCCCGCGGGGCCTGCGGGCAGGGGAAGGTGGGACCAGGGGAGGAACTCAACAACCCACACGCTGCTGAACACGCCCTTGAAACAGGAATTGCCTTTGAGATGAGACAGAAACGCTCGTGTTCTAGTCAGCCCACCCTCAGGTTGTGCTGTATCACTGCAAGAGAGGAGAGGTTTTTGCCTTCCCAGAGCAGTCTGACTTCTGTAACTGCACAGCTAAACTCTTGGGCCCCCTGCTTAGGGATTGTGCTGGAATCAAGCATTTTTGTGTAAAACTGAGTTCCTGACAGGAATTCTTTCACTGTAACACTTTTCCAGATAAGCTCTTGACAACTTTGTGTTATGTTTCCATTTTCGAGCCTTTTGGCCCAGGTTGGTTGAAAAGCACTGACCTTCAAAAGCTACTTTAGCATTTTAGCAGAAAATGAGATAGATTTGGGGTGGAGTGAGCTATACATAGCTTATTGTGTTTGTAGCAAACACCCAGAATGTTTGACCTTGGACAGCCATCGATCCTCTGCCCTGGCTGGAAGGTGCCTGTCAGTGGAGAACTCCCCTCAGAGGGAGGAGCTGTCATGGTACAAAGTGCCCCCAGTGCTGTGGAATCTCTGTATCCTGGCACTGAGGGGGGAAAATCAGCCAAGGGGTCTCTCTGTAACCCACAACCCCCCTTCTCTTCTCTAGAAACAACAGCAGTAAAACCAGCAGGAACTCAAGAAAAAAACAGGGGGAGCAGGAAAGGGAGAGGATGGTGCTACCAAAAGTGGAGCCTTGGCTGGGTCCAAGCGCTGTTCTCCCCCTGCCAAAGCCCGCAGTGACATCACCCAGGGGGAGCTGGCACAGAGGGGTGACTGAGCAGGGACATGGCCCTGGAGCTGCCAGGGGTGATGTTGTTCCCAGGACGGTGTATCCAAGCAGCCTGACCCGGTATCTGCCTGACCCTCCTGCCCCTGCCTGCAGCCTGAGCTGCCTTCTGGCCCGTCAGCTTTGTACTGTATTTACTAATCCTGTCTGTAATTGTGAGCTGTTCCCTAGAGCAGATACCCAGTTCCCACAGGCAGCCAGTACCTACCCTTGCCAGACTGTGTCCTCCTCCTGCCTTTCCCACAGGAGTACCGGGGCATTCCCTGGCCACGGTGACTGTAACCCACTGACAGTCAGTCTTGCACAGCACAGAGATGGACTAACCAGATGCCACTGCTCTACTCTGGAGCTGAAGCTTTGACTGAGCACAAAGCACGAGCAAGTACAATGAGGTCAATATATTCCTGTCAAAGATCTTGTGATAAAATCATTTACATCAGCAATCGATCTCAAACTATGAGGTGCTGTAAGAACTAAAAACAGTTTTAGGGTAACTCCTCCATTATCTGCAACTATTTCCCAGACACTAATACACAGAACATAGCAATGAAAAACACTTGATACAAGTGATCTAAACGCAGGAGCTCCAGCAAGTTAAACAGAACCATAGCTGCCTTAAACCTGTAGCAGTTCCCCTACGGAGGGCAGGGAAAAGAAAGACAGACTCAGCAGTCATATCTCATGTCTATAGCTTCATCCAAACTTTTCTCATCGTGTGTACTGGCAGCTAAAAACGTCGTTACTGGTGACCCTGTCACATTGATTACACTGGTGCTCGTGCTGGCATTGCGCACCGCAATGCTCGTCACGTTAATGCCCAAAGTCAGCCGGGTCTGCTCCAAGGCCTTTTCTGGCACTGCAAACGCCTCCAGCTTCTTCTCCCCGTTGGCCATGTAGGAGTTTTGGCAGCCACGGCATATGCAGTCAAGGCAGGCTTTGCGGTTCGAGTAGCAAGGGCAGCGTTGGCCACGGCAGGTAAGAACACTTGGATTTTGGGTGGCACGACCACATTTACACCCTTTCTTTTCTTGTGGCTTTTTATACACAGTTTTTGTTGGGCTTCCTGGCATAACGTTACTGCTGGGAACTTTCTCCTTTGCCTTGTCTTTCGTTTTCAGCACCCCCGGTTTGGCTTTCGGGTGGGATTTCTTAGGGGCATGTTCTAGGTTCTTTTTCATGCTTTTGTTAGACAGGAGCACAGTTTTACTGATTTTGGG